TCACCCCCCCCCCTAAAAAATGTCACGTGATTAATGGGCGCCCCCTGACTAAATACGTTGTTATCTCAATCAACTCGATCATAAGTTGTTCCAAGTAAATTATAATTGAAGTGAACATTTCGTATGTCGAATCAGGATGAATATTGTTACGCTGAAAAAGCTTTGAGATTGTAGTAAGATCTCGTTGAGTTGAAAGAAGATTATATCTTTTGACTAAAAAAAATCACATTAGTTTACAATAACAAAATCACAGATTATGGCAATTCTACACAAACTTGGATATCACAAATTTCGTTCAATGTGATGTACGGAAAGCTCAATTTAAACATGGGCTTCATTCGAGGAAACAACATTCAATTCATTCCTCAGTGTAATCATTTCCTAGGTATTTCTCGACTGGAGATTATATTAGGTTAAAAAAATACAACTTTTCCGTTTTTGTGGTGAATACATGTGACTTGATGGTTTATTTGATTCAAGTAAATATATCTTAAAAAGAAATGATTGATATTCACCATGAGATCTTATTTATTTGAAATTGGCTCAAGAATATAATGTTTGTTCCAAAAAAGAAACATCTCAGTAAAAATAATTTTTTCTATCAGTGTGATGATATTAATGCAAGCAGCTAAAACGAAATGCGAAACCACTGAGAGCCCGCCATCAGTGCATTTATAGCAGAAAAAGTATCAATCCACTGCTAAACAGAACATCTACCGTCACACCTTTGCGGTCGCCTGCCTGTTTTTAGCTATTGCATAATTATGTACACATAAAGTATCGAATTCTGCAACTAAACCTAATCTACACTCTTTCAGATTCCAACTCTGTAAGACTCTTAACCTCCCAGGTCTCTGCTCTCATCTATGGTGTGCCCACAAAACTACCCAGAAATTCTGTAAAACGAAGAAAGGTCCTCCTCTAGAAGGAACTTCTTGTGGGAAGAACAAAGTATAAAAAAACCACCAAAATCACCTTCATGAAACTATCCTTTTCGATGCATAATTAATTCCCCAAAACCTTTCGGTTTAGTGGTGCATAAATGGCTTCTGTGAGGTGATCGATCGTACAAAGTTTAGCCTGGAGCGGAGGACGAATAAACCGAGGGACGGTGGCTGGAGCACGTGGACTCCCTGGGGAAAGTGTTCCAGAACCTGTGGCGTTGGTGTGAGACTTCGTTATCGCCTGTGCAATGATCCAACGTCAGCACTGGATTAAACTTTAATAGATAATTTATATTTTAATTATGAAACAACAAGAACATCTAGAAACAAAAAGGAGTATTTTGACTAGAACAAATGCATTGAAATTGTTCGGCAATATCTCTCAAAGGAATAGATTTATTTGGAAATGTTATTGAATTTATTTCTGTAGACAATAATTTGCAAAAAATATTTCTTGACATTTTTCGTCAAGCTCATTTATGTTGGACATAATTGGCAAACATTAGAATTAAATTTTGAGAAGGTATTAATAGTTAATCGCTTCGTGATTGTCGAATTATGTAGCTAACGAGTCATTTTGGAAGGAAATGTCATTAATATTATCCTAAAATATCTCGAGACATTTTTCATTTAATCGAGATGATTGTTTTCCTATTTTTTCTGTGTTTTTTCAACAGTTATGAAAAAGAAGTTCTCAGGTGATCTTTGATGTGAGAGTTTAACACAGGATTCTTAACATTTTGATTGAATTTCAGACCTTCCTTTGGAGGCACCGAGTGCAGTGGCAATAGACAGGAATTCAAGAGCTGTGAGCAATCAGAATGCCCGATTGGTTCTGATCTCAGAAAGGAACAATGCTCGAGGCTCTTGAGGGTCGTTGCCTTTGACAAGACCTCAGACGAGCATAAAATTACTCTATCACCCGACGAGACTGATAATGATGATGATAAATGCAGATTGACGTGCAGGAATGATCAAAAGAATAAAATTTATCGATCTGATGATTTTTTTATTGATGGAACGCCGTGCGCCTATGAAACCACTGACATTTGCATTCAGGTAGAGTTAATATTACTAGCGATATTCAAAATTTTTGAGAGATAAGTGGCATGTAATGAGCTTAGATTTTTTATGTTTACTAGGGGGCTACGCCCCCTGCTTGCTCCGCTTGCCAACCCCCACACGACCACCATGATTCTTATTCTGACCCTTGTGATCCTTAATTTGACCCTCGTGACCCTCATTATACCCTAATTATACCCTCATTATACCCTTAATTTTGAAGTCAATTTCTGGAGTTAATTTCTAACACCAAATTTTCATTACCAAAAGTCGATTTGGATTTCTCTGTATATAGTGTGACGTATTGAGATCGATCAATACGTCGATTTATAATAATTATAATTATTATGCCCAAAGTGGTGGACGATGGGAATGGGAAACGAGGTTTCTCATTCCCTTCATCCAAAGATTGCTCAGCAGTCCCACGGTGTCCCATGGACACCAGCGTAAGCAGTTCCACGGTTTCTACAGGTCCAGTTCAGGGTGCTGAACTGTTTGACTGTGTAGGTTTCTATACAAACGAATGCACGAAACCGTATTAGTGAAGAAAACCGTGGGATTGCTTAGGTAAGCATTTTGGGACTTTGACGAGTTTGGACGACTCGG